AGCTGAAGGCTCTGGCTCCTGATCTACTTTTGGAGACTTTAGGGACCACGAGTAACCCTGCGTTCTCAGAGCGCAGTGTTCTGGTGGGATAATATGGCACTATGAGCTCTCTAAGATATGACGGAGCTTGACCATTTAGAGCTTTATAAGTTAACAGTAGGATTTTATATTCAATTCTGGATTTTACAGAAAGCCAGTGCAGAGAAGCTAAAACAGCAGATGAAAAAATGCAGTCCGTGAGGTTAATTGATTACTTCCTTCTGGCTTCATCGATAAATACAACTGTGTATCATCCGCATAACAATGGAAATTTACAGAGTGATTTCTAACGATGTTACCTAAAGGAAGCATCTATAGAGTAAATAGGATTGGTCCGAGCACAGAACACTGATATGATCAGAACACTGAACATATGAAACATGTATCTAACACATGATCTAAGTGTTGATCTGGTCTCCGTCTGTCCCCCCTCAGTGGACCTGCTGCAGATGTTGGAGATGAACATGACCATCGCCTTCCCAGCAGCCCCTCTACTCACTGTCATCCTGGCCCTCGTTGGTGAGTCTGTGTCCTGAGAGCTCAGATTGTCGAGGCAGTCAAGTCCCAAGTCGAAACAGTCCCAAGTCATAACTTTCAAGTCCCAGGCAGCTGGTTAGGTTGTGATTGGTTGGAGGTTTTGTGCAGCGTGAAGAGTTAAATATTGACCCTCTGATGTCATTTCCTGTCATCAGGCATGGAGGCCATCATGTCAGAGTTCTTCAACGACACGACAACAGCCTTCTACATCATCCTCATCGTCTGGTTGGCCGACCAGTACGACGCCATCTGCTGCCACACCAACACCAGCAAACGCCACTGGCTGAGGTGAGTCACATGACCAACAGCGTCTCATTTCTGACCACACCCACAGACACTCCCTTAAGATATTCTTAATTAACCCTTAATTAACCCTGAAACCCATTAATTATCTTAAGATTCTTCATTTTAATTTAAAAATAGACATGAAAAAAATCTTAATTAATAGAGTAAGTAGAGTTTAAGGGTTAATGTTCTGACTTTCACATCAGTGTGAAACATTTAATGATTCTCTTAATGATGAGCTTAAGGTGTTTATAAGGCTGAGGGATTTTGTTTTATGTGATGATTTTTTTTAATTAAAAATGAATTATAATGCTGTCAGTATCCAGATGTTTAATGAGTCGACACAGATCTGAATCTCATGAACAGAAACACTTGTGGACCCCAGTGTGGTAAGGGTTTTTAAAGGTAAAAACAAAATCCATTAAAGTGAGTGTATTATTTGTGATGTGTTTGTGTTCCTCAGGTTTTTCTATCTGTACCACTTTGCCTTCTACGCCTATCACTACCGCTTCAATGGTCAGTACAGCAGCCTGGCGCTGGTCACCTCCTGGCTCTTCATCCAGGTCAGAACCATCATCATCATCATCCCCGTACATTTTAAAATAAGAGCACTGATGTTAGATTAAAAACTCAGCCCTCAGAGAGTATAAACGTTTTAGTCTGAAAACAATGTGTCAGTGAGGTTCAGGTAACATAACCTGTGTCACATGACCTGTTCTCACAGGATGGAAAGTTTAACAGCGGCAGGAGGTCGTGGTTTACATGTTGCTGTTGAAGTAGACCTAAAATCAGAACCATAACAAACAGAACATACGTTCTATTAGCAGCAGAATGTTCCGTGTCATCACGTTGTACACTCTTAATGATGTCTTTTCACTACGTTGGGGGAGTGGGAGAGCCCTTCTGTGTGGAGTTGTGCTCCGACATGTTCTCCCTGTGTCAGTATGGGTTTTTTCCAGGTGCTCTGACATGTTCTCCCTGTGTCAGCATGGGTTTCCTCCAGGTGCTCTGACATGTTCTCCCTGTGTCAGCGTGGGTTTCCTCCAGGTGCTCTGACATGTTCTCCCTGTGTCAGCGTGGGTTTCCTCCAGGTGCTCTGACATGTTCTCCTTGTGTCAGCGTGGGTTTCCTCCAGGTGCTCTGACATGCTGGGATAGGCTCCGCCCCCCTGTGAATAGGATAAGCGGTTCCATATAATGAACGAAAACATCAGATTGTTATGTAATTTTTTTCCTGTGACACATTTTCAGTACTTTAATCAGTGTTTATTGACTCACAGAAGTTTTTAGCTGTACAGATTTTCTGTGTATGCACCAATGCAGGAAATAACATCGCAATAAGCATAAATACCAGCGTAGGACTTGGAGGACTGTTTCTACTGCAGGGTTTAAATGGCTTCCTGTCACTAACATTCTCCTCCTCTTTTCCTTCAGCACTCCATGATCTACTTCTTCCATCATTATGAGCTTCCTGCCATCCTGCAGCAGATTCGGATTCAGGAGATGCTGCTGCAGAACCAGCAGGCGGGTCAGGCCAATCAGACGGCCCTGCAGGATAACGCAAACAACAACAACACCGCTGCTGCTGCGGTGGCGACAACTGGACCTGCCAACACCACCCAACCAGGACCCAACACCATCCAGCCGGGACCTCACACCGACCCCCAGACCTCCTCCTCTTCCTCCTCCTCCTCCTCTCCTGCATCTGCAGCAGCAGGTGGAGGGGAAGTAAGGGCGGAGCTAAACTGGGTTGCTCAGACGGCCGCCATCATCACTGAAGCTCTGTCCTCCTCCAGCCAGCCCTCTGATGGAGGAGGAGGTGTGTCTGGAGGTCAGGGGTCAGCAGGAGTGGCAGAGGTCAGTGTGGTGGCTGAGTTCTGGATGGGAGGAGGAGGAGGAGGAGCAGCAGCAGGAGGAGAAGCAACAGGAGGAGGAGGAGCAGGAGGTGAAGATCCCAACATTGTTTCAGTTGAAATTAAAAGCACAGCAGGAGGAGCCGATCCTCAAACCAGCCCCCCTATCAGAGGGCTTCAGGCAGAGGAGGCGGGGCCATCAGAGGCCACGCCCCCACAGACAGACTGCCCCCCCTCACAGAGTGCAGGTACAGACTGGGACTGCAGAACAGCACAGAGCCCGTCCTGAGAGTCCAGGTGTCGTCCTGCTGACATCATCGGTACCTCAGTCTGTCAGCCAATCAGGGTGATTGATCAGTGATCGGTCCGTCACTGACTTCAGATCAGCTGAACCAATCACATTTTATTTCCTGTTTTAAACCAATGTCAGATTGATCAATCAACTGTGTGAGGTCAAGACAGAGCGACGTTCTTCAGATGATCAGTCACATGATCAGTCTGATGTCATCGATCCAAAGATTATTCATCTCATTAATAATCTGTCACTTATTGATTAACCAGCTGATTGTTTCAGCTCCAAATGTCCAGTGTGTTGTTTGTCATTCAGGATTACAGATTACAGATTACAGATTACAACCAGTTGAAACTTCTCCTGGTCAGAATTCCTTCAGTGTTGATTGTTGAGGAGCTGAGTTATCCTCAGAGGTCTCTTCCTCTCAGAAACACACACACCAGCTGATTATGAACACATGAATGTCTCTATCAAGAGTCAGTGTTTGGTTTGTCCGTTCTGGGCTACTGTAGGAACATGGCGGTGCAAAATGGTGATCTCTGTAGACGAGGACCAGCTCCCTGTGGAGATATAAACAGCTCATTCACAACCATTCTGACTTTAATCTCGGATTCAATTTAACTTGACACAGAAACTCTTCAGGCTTCAGATGATTCGTTCTGTCACTCAGGATGTGAAGTTTCCTGTGATGTCATCAAACACGTTGGCTGTTAAAATGTGAGATGTGTGAACAACGCAAACAGTGAAACGTGTAAATTTAGAAACCACAAATATGAAACCTCTGCAGATTCACAGCTTTAACAGATCTCGCACACACCTGAAAACATTTATGAAAATCTTTGTAGCGTTTACGCCTCAGTCACGTTTGTTGTGTTGCAGCATCACAATGTTTCAGTCCCATATTTGTGGTGTCACGTGTCAGTCTTATTTCTTCTTTATTTTTTCTGCGTTCCTCAGAGAACTGTTAACGAGGTCCAACATCAGTGACCACAAGCACTGCTGACTCTTCTCCCTCCGTTAACAGCTCTGATGTAATGATTCATAAATGTCATTTTTCCTGGGATAATAATGATGACATCATATGGCGAGGCCTCCACTGGCTCCTCCCACCATGTTTGTGATTCTCAGTTCTGTGTCTGCAAGTCTTTTTGTTTCTGCCAGTCTGTTTCATGTCTGTGGACGTCGTTTTATTTTTACAGGCACGTGAACACACCGTTGACCCGATCACGTGATCTCCAATTCGTCGGTAACTCGTCCGTTCAATCTGCTGCTGAGACTCGACACCGAATGAGTCACCTGATGACCAAGTCACATGTTCGCACTCACTGCAGCTCCAAACGTGGATTAATCCACCGCTGAAAATAGTCCCCGTCTGTTTGTGATCAGCTGATTGATGACATCAGTGATCAATCTATTGATTAGTGTTTTTAAAGGTCTTTAGTAGGAACCAATGAGAGCTCAGAGACACAGACAGGAAGTCACTGACATTTAGAAACACACTGGACCGATCCTTTAAATCACTCGACACATGTCGACCCCTCATGATGGACCCTGATGATCAGTTATTGATCAGCTGTGATCGATCAGCCCTGATTCTGACAGACTGAAGCACAGCCTCTGAACTGTGTTGCTTTCTGTTTCCATCAACTTTTATTTTGAAGACAAAGACTCTGACAACAGGAAGTGGTTTTGGAGCGTCGCGGCGGTCGGACTGATCGATCAGGACTTTCTGTCAGAATGGATGCCTTATCAATAATCCTCAGACTGTCAGCAGCGGAGTGAACTGATTGATTGTGCAATATGATGCCAGCTATGTCACACCTCAGGCCCCGCCTCCTGCTAGAGGGAGTGGCCTGTCACTGTGATGCGTTCAGGGGTTGGGAGGCAGAAACTGCCGGTGCTCTCACAGTGACAGGTCTGCAGGTGCGTTCAGGTGCTGCCTGTCAGCTCATAGATGTGAGTGTCAGCTGTGTGGTGCTGCTGACCTCAGATCTGTTTCCTGCTGTTGTTACGTCACTTCCTGCAGGAAATAATCACTTCTTTTTCTTAATTCAAACATTGTTCAACAAAGTCAAAGTCAGGTCAGATCAACAACATGTAAACACACTTAAACAAACAACACGTCCAGGCGAAAGGCTCAGAGATGAATCCTCACACACACACACACACACACACACACACACACACACACACACAAACACACACAGGATGTTTATATCACAATCATGCTGACACGTCAGACGCCAGGTCACAAGTCGTTTCAGGACGACGATCCTTTTAGAAATGTTCAGAGACTGAAGGAGTAGACAGAGAGTACAGAAGGTTGATCAGACATGTGTTTGATCAGTGATTGATTAATCTGGTATCCATGGTGACTTGAAATCTGAGCCCAACTTTGTTATTCCTGTAGCGGTCATATGATCCCCTGAGCGCACCATGGACCAGCTGATCAGCTGCTCGTCTGTGAAGAAGACGGAGCCTAAGGTGTGACATCAGTATCAGAGCCAGAACCTGAACCAAACCGATTTTGGGGGAGGGGTGGGTGTTCTTGGTGCCTCTCTGCTGGATGACTGTAGCCTGAACTCATCACACAATATTTAACTGCCCAGTAAAACCAGTAAAACCAGTGCACAACAAAAACTGTTGGCACACAAACTGTGTGAGTGTGACTTCTTCCAGTCTGAGTGACAGAAAATAGTTTATCAAAAGGTAAAATGTCCGAAAATATGTCGATTTGTCGTTATAAAATAAATTCCACTTTATTTATAAAGGTCAAAATCACAGAACAGATGAACATAATAAATGTACAGTGAGACATGGAGAGAGACAGAGAGAAGCAGGACAGACAGTGATGACAACATGTACAAGAACATTAATGTTAGTCATCATATTATAATAATAATAATAATTGTGATACGATATGTTGTAAGTATATAAATTAATATATGATAGTATGTGTATATATTAATATCTGATAGTATACATGTGTGACAATAATCATATGTGTATAATAACAGTAGAAGTATGACTAATGATAACAGCAGTAGGAGGCATCTGGCAGGACCACGGCAGCAGCACAACCACACATGTCACACTATCCAGGATGAGCTGGACAAACAGACAAACGCCGGCAAAAACATAACCTCCTTGGTGGAGGTAAAAAGTGATAAACACGTCATAGTATAGTATGTCGAAAAAGATAATAAAAAGGTCATAGTATAGTATGGCGAAAAATAGTGATAAAAACATCATAGTGCAGTATGGCGAAAAATAGTGATAAAAACGTCATAGTATAGTATGATGAAAAGGTAATAAAAACATCATAGTGTAGTATGGCGAAAAATAGTGATAAAAACGTCATAGTATAGTATGATGTAAAGGTAATTAAAACATAGTATAGTATGACAAAAAGGTAATAAAACCATCATAGTATAGTATAGCGAAAAATAGTGATAAAAACATCATAGTATAGTATGGCGAAAAATAGTGATGAAAACGTCATAGTATAGTATGACGAAAAGGTAATAAAACCATCATAGTATAGTATAGCGAAAAATAGTGATAAAAACGTCATAGTATAGTATGACGAAAAGGCAATAAAAACATAGTGTAGTATGGCGAAAAATAGTGATGAAAACGTCATAGTATAGTATGGCGAAAAATAGTGATGAAAACGTCATAGTATAGTATGACGAAAAGGTAATAAAACCATCATAGTATAGTATGGCGAAAAATAGTGATGACAACATCATAGTATAGTATGGCGAAAAGGTAATAAAAACATCATAGTATAGTATGGCGAAAAATAGTGATAAAAACATCATAGTATAGTATGGCGAAAAATAGTGATAAAAACATCATAGTATAGTATGGCGAAAAATAGTGATGAAAACGTCATAGTATAGTATGACGAAAAGGTAATAAAACCATCATAGTATAGTATAGCGAAAAATAGTGATGACAACATCATAGTATAGTATGGCGAAAAGGTAATAAAAACATCATAGTATAGTATGGCGAAAAATAGTGATGAAAACGTCATAGTATAGTATGGCGAAAAATAGTGATAAAAACATCATAGTATAGTATGGCGAAAAATAGTGATGAAAACGTCATAGTATAGTATGACGAAAAGGTAATAAAACCATCATAGGATAGTATAGCGAAAAATAGTGATGACAACATCATAGTATAGTATGGCGAAAAGGTAATAAAAACATCATAGTATAGTATGGCGAAAAATAGTGATGAAAACATCATAGTATAGTATGACGAAAAGGTAATAAAACCATCATAGTATAGTATAGCGAAAAATAGTGATGACAACATCATAGTATAGTATGGCGAAAAGGTAATAAAAACATCATAGTATAGTATGGCGAAAAATAGTGATGAAAACGTCATAGTATAGTATGACGAAAAGGTAATAAAACCATCATAGTATAGTATAGCGAAAAATAGTGATGACAACATCATAGTATAGTATGGCGAAAAGGTAATAAAAACATCATAGTATAGTATGGCGAAAAATAGTGATGAAAACGTCATAGTATAGTATGACGAAAAGGTAATAAAAACATCATAGTATAGTATAGCGAAAAATAGTGATGACAACATCATAGTATAGTATGGCGAAAAGGTAATAAAAACATCATAGTATAGTATGGCGAAAAATAGTGATGAAAACGTCATAGTATAGTATGACGAAAAGGTAATAAAAACATCATAGTATAGTATAGCGAAAAATAGTGATGACAACATCATAGTATAGTATGGCGAAAAGGTAATAAAAACATCATAGTATAGTATGGCGAAAAATAGTGATGAAAACGTCATAGTATAGTATGACGAAAAGGTAATAAAACCATCATAGTATAGTATAGCGAAAAATAGTGATGACAACATCATAGTATAGTATGGCGAAAAGGTAATAAAAACATCATAGTATAGTATGGCGAAAAATAGTGATGAAAACGTCATAGTATAGTATGACGAAAAGGTAATAAAACCATCATAGTATAGTATAGCGAAAAATAGTGATGACAACATCATAGTATAGTATGGCGAAAAGGTAATAAAAACATCATAGTATAGTATGGCGAAAAATAGTGATGAAAACGTCATAGTATAGTATGACGAAAAGGTAATAAAAACATCATAGTATAGTATAGCGAAAAATAGTGATGACAACATCATAGTATAGTATGGCGAAAAGGTAATAAAAACATCATAGTATAGTATGGCGAAAAATAGTGATGAAAACGTCATAGTATAGTATGACGAAAAGGTAATAAAACCATCATAGTATAGTATAGCGAAAAATAGTGATGACAACATCATAGTATAGTATGGCGAAAAGGTAATAAAAACATCATAGTATAGTATGGCGAAAAATAGTGATGAAAACGTCATAGTATAGTATGACGAAAAGGTAAT